ATTGAATTAAAGGCATATATATTTGCAATAAGTATTACATATCTGTGATATGTACATGACATATGCTATATATACATATTTTTCTTTTACTGTAAATATACAAGAAGAAAATGCAATATGACAGCAGATTAAGCCAACGTATATCTTGTGTAGCTTCAAGTTGCTTTTCTTTTCTGTGAAATTTTTAAGATTTAATATGCTAACAGTAAAGCACCTAGAACTGCTTTAAATATCTTCCAGAAAAATATTAACTACTTTCTAACATCAAAGAAAAATTTCCAAAATAAGTAGTGTATGTATTTTTCCCTGATTACACAGTTTCTTAAAGGAAACAGCTTCAAGTTAACTATACGTATTTGACTTTGTGGGTTTTTTTTTATTTTAGTTATATGCATGGTCAAACAAAATTAAATCATTTTATTTATATTTTAAAGCTGATGAAAACAATACCATTTATAGAACATTTCCGAATTTCATATTAACAAAAATAATGACTTAGATAATGGTACTCATTCAAAGTACTAAATTAAATAAAAGTTTAGACCTGATGTGTTGACATACTCATGGATCAATATTCTTTATATTCCTGTTGCTTCTATCTTGAACTTAAGAGAATGCATATTATAGATATAAATGGATTAATTTACTGTTTTACCAAAATAAAAGAGTTAAGACTGTCTCAAGCCTTGAAACATGCTTAATATTAAACATTAGAATCCTTCTTCTTTTTTCCAAATAAATTAATCTCAGTTTAAGTCTCATCATTTAAAAAGCAAGTAGTATTTGTGAATACAATTATTTCTACTACAAATGAAAGCTTAGACTAGTTTTAGTGTCATATATTCCTTATTTAATTAAAAGTTAATCATTCATACCTGAATCTAGACCACATATATCATGGAAAAAAATGGTCTGAGAGCCTAGAGAAGAATTCTGAACAATATAGTACTGAAAAATGAGACATCAATGCTTTTCTGAATATAAGTATGATTCAAACAGACAAGTGCAAATAAATCTGCATGAATATTGCACCTGGTTCATTGAGTGGCTTATAACTTTGAAATTCAAATGTCAGCAAATATATCAACACTGCTAAAAAATCAAAAAGGAAGTACATTTTGGTAAGCGCAAATGCTTCTAACTCACATAAGATAACCATGGTTATATTATAAATAAAAAGTTACTTTTAAAGAATAAATTATTTTACTCACATCATCATTAACTTCTGAAGAGAACTGAACACTTAAAAGAGCTCAACAAATATTTTAGAATGAATACACATGTACACACTGTGTGTGCACATATGTGTGCATGAATATTTTAGATATGCAATAAGCAGTGCCTAAACACATGAAATGTATTTTAATATTTAGAAAAAAATTAAAATCATTTGCTTTCCTAAAGACCAAAGTCAGAATATGATTTTCAATTATCTGGTCATGTAAGCAATATGTCATGCTTGACTATGATTTATTTAAACAAACAAACAATGCGAATTGTAGGTGAATTTTTAGGTAAGGATGAAGACAGAAATCCAGGTTTATCAGCTCTTATTGCCCAGTTCAGTTCAGTTGCTCAGTCGTGTCGGACTCTTTGCTATCCCATGAACTGTAACATGCCAGGCCTCCCTGTCCATCACCAACTCTTGGAGTTTACTCAAACTCATGTTCATTGAGTCAGTGATTACTCTGAAGTAAATAACAGCATTTGTACCATGATGTTGTACTAAAATTTGGAAATTGTACCCTAATTGGAAATATTGTGTCTTGATTTGGAAATAAGTGTGAATCCTAGAAATCAGCTTTTCTTTTTTTACTTTCTCTTTTCCCTCTCCCCTTCCTCTTTCCTTCCTTCCATTCATTAGAGCCACTTCCTTTTAGCCTAATTTGAAAAGAATGTTATTGGTGTTCTGTTTACAATATAGTCTCTAAAATGTAATATTCAAGTGAAATATCAAAATTTATGTTAAAACTTTGATATTAAGATACTTTTGCTCTAGGGTTTTGGGGGAAAACAACTTCTTTTTAGTGTTATTCTATTTTGAAAATCTTGCAAGTCTAGTTAATTTAAAAACTGCAAGTTTAGAAATTAACATAATTTGCATTTCTAAGTTAATAAATCATATTACACCCTTCAGTTCATCAGAAAACTAGAAAAATAGAATATTATTTAAAAAGTTGTCTCCACCCAAAATCCAGAGTAAAACTATCTTAATATCAATGTTTTAACTTAAATTTTGATATTTCACTTGAATATTAATTTTAGAGACTATATTGTAAACAGAACACCAAAGACATTCTTTTCAAATTAGGCTAGAAGGAAGTGGCTCTAATGAATGGAAGAAAGGAAGGGGAGAGGGAAAAGAGAAAGTAAAAAATGAAAGGGTTCCCAGGTGGCTCCATAGGTAAATAATCTGCCTGAAAGCTAGCAGAGCAGGTTCAGATCCCTGGGTAGATAAAATCCTCTGGAGGAGGAAATGGCAACCCACTCCAGTATTCTTGCATGAAGAATACCATGAACAGAGGAGACTGGTGGGCTACAGGCCATAAAGTCTCAAAGAGTCTGAAACGACTAAGGCAACTGAGCATACAGCCATTTTAAAAGGAGTGTCTTTGGATAAAATTATTCTCTTAGTGAGTTTTTAATGACATTTATAAAACTATTTACTGTAAATGATTTTAAAGATTTAAACATAAGGAATTCAAATTTAATTATAAAAAGGCCATGAAGTTATATTCTGCGACAGTAAATATAAAGATTACTTAAAATCAAAACATAAATTATTGAATCATCTAACGCCTTTATGAACATTTAAGCATAATGATTTATATTATAATGTAATCTTTTAATTTTACAGTTAATAAATTGTAAACTGAGTTTGCAAATGCATATTGCAAATGATACTGACAGTCTATCAGTAACAGTGTTAGCATCAGTAGCAAAATTAGACTTTATTCCTTTGAGTACTAATACATAAACTCCATACTCGGTTATCTTTTCCGAAGTTTTCTGCATACATTTAACTTAGCATGGACACCTTTAAAGAGGGCAGTGTTTGAATTCAAAAAGTGGAAGTACAGTCACCAATCGGAAACCTTCCTCACAACCTCAAAATCATGTGCCTTTCATACTTCTCTCCTTTGCAGCCGACTTAGACGTGGGGCATCTTTTTCCTGTCTTTCTCTTTGCCTCCCACTGACTATAGCGCAATAACTGGAACCACTTCAACTGTGTGTGACACAAACATAGCAGCGCTGAAACGCGTCGCATGGAAGGCTGTTTTCTCCTCCAGAATTTTCTAAGTGTCGAACTCAGATCCTTTGCTCTTCCATTTACTACTTTCCCAAATCCCGCCACTGCGCCATTTCCCTCCCTCTGCCCTAGAGAAGAAAGATAACCCTTCATAATATCGTTTTTTTTTTTTTTTCTGGGTTTACCTTTCTTCCCTGTCATAGATATTTTAAAAAACATTCTCATAAATTTAGAGGTGGGATTTTCGACCTCACTCGACTGTAAAACCCTAAGTCCGTTTCATTAAAATGATTATAATAACAGCGAATAAACTATTACGGAACCCCCACACTAGTGGCACAGATTCCTTGGCGCGCCCTTCCTAAACGTGTTAAGTGTAGCCTGGGCGCATTCCTCCTCCTTCCTGAGGTTCCTAGCGTGGCCAGCCTCTTCCACCTGCGAGGAGCGGAGGCATTTTTTGCTGTCTACTAACCCCCTCTAGCGCCCGGCTCGCAGCAGCCGAGCGCCGGCAGCCAGACGGGCCAGCGCCGGGCTCGGCGGAGCTGGGCGGCGCTGGCGGCTCGGCCCCTACCCTCCACGTCCGCCTCGGCCGTGAGGCGAGGGCGTCAGGACGAGGCGCCCCGAGACCCTCCTTGTTAGCACCTGCGTTGCCCCCTTCCCGAACTCCCCACACGGGGGGCCAGGGCCGGGCGGTCCCACCCGGCAGCCGGCGCCGTGGAGCGCTGGGAGGGAGCGGGTGCCGCGAGGGGGCGGCTTCAGCGGGGATAGCGGTCCGCTCGCAGGCAGTCGGCGCGGCTGTGGAGGCGGCCACGCACAGCTCAGCCCGGAGGCTTCTCCGAGTGCGCGGTCCGACGCCGTCACGCTGCGGGCGTCCCGGGCCCCCCGAAACCCCGGCGCCTGCGGCTGCGACCATGCTCGTGACCTCCGCTGTGAAGTCGCGGCCGCACGGTGACGACGAGACCTCAGTGAGACCCCGCGCCAGGCCCCCGCCCGCCTCCAGCCTGAGGTGACTCTCTGCAGCTCGCTGCCTGCCTTCGCTCTCCTAGGACTAGCTGCGGAGGCGGCCGCCAAGCCCAGGCTCTCGCCCTACCGGGCAAGTTTGGGCGACCCAGGCTGAGGAGCGGTCAGGCTGGTCCGCCGCCGCCGCCAAGCTCAAGCCGGACGCGGAGCGCTCGGCCACAGCACTCGCCCCCTCCGGCAGCGGAAATGTGAAGTCGGGGGTAGCCCTGCGGGGTGCAGAGTAGCTCTAAAACGCTGGACGCTGCTGCCGCGAGATGGGAAGGAAAGTGCTTGGGAGACTAAGTGCGGCCTCAGACAGGCCGGGGAAAAGGCTGCCGAGGCCGAAGCGCGGCGCAGATGCGGCCGAGTTGGAGGGGTTCGCTCGGCGGGCCGCGGCCGTCGCCACCTAGGCGACGGGCTGAGGGCGCAGCTCGGTAGCTCGCTCGGACCGCTCGCGGCCCCGCGGAGCCTCCTCAGGCGCTCGGCTCTCGCCGCACTGGCCGGAGGAAAGTTCCCGCGGCCCCCGCCCGCTCAGAGCTGCGGCGCCCGTCCTGCTTTTGGCTCCGCAAGTGCCCACTCTGAGTTCGGCACTCTGAGAGACGCGCAGACCGGCAGAACTGCCCGAGCCGCCGCCGCACCTGGCCGTCCCTCCCCCGTTGCCGCCGTGAGGCGCCCTCCCCCGCCCCTGCGCTCCCCTCCCCCAAACCACAGCCCGAGCTCGCTCCTGCGCGCGCGCTCTCCCAGGCCCAAGTGAATAGTCCTCGCGCGAGCGGGACACGGCGGTGGATGCAATTCCGCTCGCCTACAGCCGCCAGGAGCTCCCTGGCGCCGCCGGCAGCGTCCTCCTCCGGAGCAGCTGCGCCTGCACCTGGGCAGCCTGGACCTTCGTGCCCTGCCCCCGGGGCCTCGCGCGGGGGTCGCCCCGGGACACCCCCTGTGGGCCGGGTGGAGGAGGAAGAGGAGGAGGAAGAAGACGTGGACTCGGACCGGCCGCTGAACACCTGGCTGAGCCACTTCACTTTAAGGGGGAGAAGAGAGCCGGGGAGAACCATGGCGGGCAGCGAAGTCCGGGAATTTCTTTTGCAATTTGGTTTCTTCTTGCCTCTGCTGACAGCTTGGCCAGGCGACTGCAGTCACGTCTCCAACAACCAAGGTAAAGGGGCCGGTGGAGAAGCAAGATGGGGCGGGAGGAGGCGGGTGCTCTGAGGACCGGTGCGTTGGTCGCCTCTTGGCAGGTAACTTCGTCTCGGGGTGGGCTTCTCCCGGCTCTCCACACGAGGGGGTCGAGGATGTCTCCTCACCAGAGCGCCTGTCCACAGCGCCCGGGGCCGGAGATCTCACGAGGAGCGGTCTGTTCTGCTTCCAGAATGTCTTTAAATGGATGCGTGAGCATCAGCAGCAGTTGGGTCCCACCACTGGCAGCCGCGGGACCGCTCCCCGCCGCGCGGTCTCCACGGGAGGTCAGGCTCTGTGGTGGAGGCTTAATGGAGACTTCTGGCTCTTTGCGGTCGCTCACGGCGCGGTACCGTGGAGGTTCTCCCGCACGCCTGCAAGAAAGCAGATCGTTCTCGCTGTAGCCCCTGGCCAAATAACCAGCCTTGAGCCTTCTATAAACCAAACCCTCGCCCAGCTGCAAGCCCTTTACCCCATCCCGACCGAATTTAGAAATTACTCCGGATTATTTCCAGCCCAGATGCCCGAAGGGGCCGGGGCGGGGGGAGGGGGGTTTGCGGGTATTAGGTGTAAATTAAGAAGTCGTGAATATTCTGTGCCTAAAGTCAGGTAAAGTGGTAAAGTGAAGATGAATAGCCTGTGAAAAGTGAAAGTGAGGTTTACCGAATGGAAAGCACCGAGAATCTTTGAACTTTTTTTTTTCCGCTTTCTAGCCAACAATCTTTATGAGACACACTCATTGGATTTCTGCTGTGAATATTTAAAGATCTATATAAAAGAAATCACCTCCATAGTCTCAATCCTCCTAGACTGAGAGGGGAACAGCCATAAAAGTTTTCCAGCATGTACCTGGCTGGATGCTCTCCCTGGCACTGTGATGACCGCCGGTGTCACCTGTTACGTCACACTTTTAAAACACCTCAAATATAAAACTTCAATTAGAGTTACCATTCAACATACAAGGTCTCAAAATAATTTGCAGGTATATAAATAGAGGTCAGATGGCATGAAAATGTGCGCTTCCTTTGCGAGGGTGAGAAGGTTAAGGGTGAAGGAAATTAGAACACAGCCTTCTTTTTTGTCATAAACATATACAACCAGTTTGTTAGAAATAGAATCATTTAGAATGAATATTCAGTTCTCATTTATGTAACTGATACTTTTGACATGCTTTTCTAATTCTTTGCCTTTTTTTTTTTTACCTCCAGATTGCAATCACAAATGCATATGTCAGCTTGAAAACCATACACAACCATCTTGCCTTTGAAAATGTATTCTATGAGTATCACCTATAGTGCCACGCTCTCCTATGGAGGTGTATACCTTCACACACATCCCTTATTTGGTTTCAAGGACTGTTGGCATTAAATATCAAAGGGGTAGTTAATTTACCTCTGAAAATTGAACATTGTTTAAAATAACGCGTAATTACTTGACCTTTTTATTGAAAGGAAAAACGATTTTTAGTAATTGGAAAATCAGACATTTATGTTATACTAAATGTGCCTAGGGCTTCTAAAGATGTGTACACTTAAAGTCAAGTTTGCTAGGAATATTTTAACAGTTATATCCTTTCAATCATGTCCCTAAATCAAAATTTATATTTTCAAAGTTCCAGTAACCATCCTAGGCCCTGAGGATACTACCAAAAATAAAACACATGTTAGACTCTTCAAATGAGTAAAGAGCCATTCTACCAAAGTGTCTCAAGTATTAAAGTATGACCTTTCAGATATTCATGTTAAATTTAAGGGATAGGGAAGTTGTTTGTCAACTCTTGCAGTAATTTTTATTTATCTGTTTTAATAGCTTTCTCATACTTTTACAAGACGTTTTACCTAAAAGATTTACCAATTATATCTAACTTATGTGTGTTTTGTAAATTAGCTTAACTTAGTGAATATTACTCAACTTACCTAACAAGATCATTAAAGATAGTCTCCAAAAACTCTTAATTTGCATTTGTACTAATAGTCTAAAAACACAAGCTATGTGTTACACTTGAATAATATCATACCTAAAGGGTAAGTTGGGTAAAATTTAGAGTTTTTCAGCAGAATATTATGGAGAAAACATGCTCAGATTTTTTTCCTCAGATACAAATAATTGCTTTTAAAATGCTTTTTATGGCTTAAAGTTACAGTGGTTCAAAATTATGCCTTATAATATCTTGAGATAATTTTTGAATGCTGAAATAATCATGCTAATAGTTGATAAATGTGGAACTTCAAAATGTTGTTTTATGAACAAAAAGATATTTTCTTATTTGTAGTTTCGAAAATAGATGACATTAATCAACATATCTTGCCAATTTGTAAACATTGAAAATATGAGGCATTGTAGAATTACTGAAGTACATGTACAATATAGAAATATAAATGCAAAATACAAATCTTTGTACATAATAAGCATTGATAATAGGCTTAATATTTAACTTTAAGCATATGTATTCATTTTTCTAGTAACTTTTTGTCCTAAGAGCTAATGGAATTCTTGTTTTATTTTTTAAAATTGTTACAGAGGGTAAATTTTCATTTTAATATAATTTGTCTTCTCATTAAGAGTAATCACAAAGTAAACTTTAATGTGATGTATTTTTACCAAATTATATAAAATATTTCATGGTTGAATGAAGGCGTCATCCTCTTCCTCATTCCTCGTTTTGCATACATAGAATAAAAGGATCAAAAAAGTGAACTATTTCATTTTTTACAATGTGCTAAGAGTAACTTGAAAATAGGAAGCATCTCTTCTCTTGTTTCTTAACTGGCTGTGAATCTCTGCGCCATAAATACAAAATAAATCAGTTTGACTCTCTTCCTATTACTGAAACCTCCTTGAATTGATCAAAAAGTAAAGCTGCTTCCTAGATCACTTCATCTGATTAAGTAAATGAAAACAAGATTTGTACTTAAATTTCCCTTATTCCATTAATTTTCCCTCTGTTTAAAACCTCAGTATTTATTTCGTGTTGGCAACTTTAAAAGTAACAGTTTTTACTCTCTTAAGAGTTGAAAACTTTTATTTTTGTACTAAAAGGATAGTTAGGAGAATATAAAATACAATCTTGTTTTTTATGTCAGTAACCATGTATATCAATCTCAGTGGTTAATAGCCACCAGGGATCTGTTAATTCACAGATTACTCTGCTTTAGTCTAAAAAGAGTTGATGCATCTCTCAGGGTGTGACTCATGTTTCCAAAAATAATCAATACTTGAATAATTCATTAAATCAAAATATGCTTTGAATATGAGAGTCTGGTGAGTTCGTTTTACTACCAAGATTGTGTGAACTGATCTTTCTCCTCCACTCAGGGATTTCAGTGAAAAATGAAATATACAAGGAAAACAATAGTTTGAGTCATTAGTTTCATTAAATTTATTAATTTGAATGAATTAAGTCTAAAATCCACTAAGTTGTATGTAAATACAGGTGAACATAGCTGATCTGAAAAATACCTGCTTATTTAAATTCATAGCCCTAAATTAGTTGAACTGACATAAGTATTGTTCACAAACTGTAAGACCGAATGTTGTTCTTACATTTACAGAAAGGGGGGAATTGAAATATTTTAAGAAAGTTGAAGAGTGAACTTTACTGAAAATATTGAAAATTGGGTTCAATAAGGAAAACTGAGTGATTTATAAAGAATATTTCTAAAAGACCTTTCCTTATATAAAATTTGATGGATAAACTATGATTGTAAAAGTGCAAGAGGTTGAAATCACACGCTTTTCTTGTTTTCCATAAGTATGAAACAACCTAGAATGTATTATTTATACATTAACAAACTTAAGTGAGCCATTGTAGTATTAGCCATTATGATTAGTATTTAAAATAGAATATAGAATGTCATTGATATGCACTAGTCATCTCAATCTTTTTGTTCTGAGTTTGGGATAAGACTGTATCTAAAATTATTTTTTACACAAAAATTACACAACATTCTTTAAGGGTCTTGTCTTCAAACTAGAAATAACATGAATAATGCAATTTTAATATAGATTTTCTCAAGGGGCAAATATATATATATATGTTTTTAAATTGATGATTAAATAATATCTTTTTACATTTTCAAAATACTTTCAAACTTTTCTATATGGAATTTGTATTATTCTTACATTAAAAAATTAAATATTAATAAAAATCCGAGTTGAAAATTTCTTCTTCAGTAATCATTGCTAGTATAAATAAGTAGCAAAAGGCATCAGTGATTTCTTGTATTTTCTTCTACTAATTATTTTCCCCTGTGCCAGACACCAGATCTCAATCACTCTCTCTTTCTTCTTTCACACACAGGAGTACTTCTGACTATATATTTCTTTTGTCCTAAATGGTGAGAGAATAGACGTTATCTCACACTGTCCATCAGTCAACCAAATCCCTAAAGTTATAGAAGTTTCTTGTGTTCTTGACTCACCATTTCTTGGGACTATACATACAGTGGAGATCAGTACAGGTAGTTAAGTAATAAACATGGATTAACTTTGTTCCGTGTGCTTTGTTAATCATGTAATCAAACTAAACTTATACAGAAGGATTAAATTGTTTATACATACACAGTGTTAACTTTTAAATAAAAATTGTATATATATATATATGTTTATATATACACATTGAAGTCGTGAAACATGAATTGATATACTGTGTCTGTAGTGTTCTAATAAACTTGCAGTTTCTTTAGGACTGGCATTAGATCTTTAAAAAGCAGATATTATATTACCTCTACTTTTGCCTTATTTTTATTGAGTATTCTGTTTTTGAATGTAATATTTATATGATGAAGAGAAAAAACAGTAAGCAAGCCAGACTTCATAAATGCCCTCATGGAATTTATTTTCTAGTAAGGGAGACTGACAACAAATATGGAAGTAAATGATATATGCTATGGAGGAAACAATAAAGGCCCTGAGCAAATAAGAGGAGGGACCCGCTATTTTAAATGTGATGGTTAGAGAGGCCTATCTGGGAAGTGACAC